CGGCTCTTTCTCGAAGCCTCGTAGAACTTGGGACCCTAGACCCTAAACCCTGAACTTTCCTAAACCCTAAACCCTAAACCCTAAACCCTAAACCCTAAACCCTAGACACTAAACCCTAAACCCTGTGGCTTCGGGTTTTGGGGTTTAGGCGGCAACCCCGGAGGTGCTAAAAAACCTAAAACCCTAAACCCCTAAACCCCCAAACCCTAATTAGGGTTTAGGGTTTAGGGTTTAGGGTTTAGGGTTTAGGGCAAACCCTAAATAAACCCTCAACCCTACCAGGACCCCCCCACTGCCCCTTAATAGAAGTCCTTAATAGTGTGCCCGGGCATTTAGGGTATATTAGATAGAGGGTCGTTGGGGGGTCTAGGTTTACGGAAGCTTTGGACGTGGAACCTGGAGCGGACCCTAACCCTTACGAGTTCTGGTGTCATGAGAAATCAGCACCGAGGGTTTAGGGTTTAGGGTTTAGGGTTTAGGGTTGAGGGTTTACGGTTGAGCCCGGAAGGGCTTTCGTCCCTGTAAGGCAGGGCGAGGGGTACTTTCGCAAATCACAGTAGTGCTGCTGGATACGTCCTTAGGACCCAAAACCCCTAAACCCTAAACCCTTAAACCCTAAACCCTAAAAACCCCTAAGCCCTGAACGTGGATCTCCGTGAAGGCTACGACGAATACAAAAAAACCCAAAAACTTGGAACGTAGACTTAGGATGAATAGTGCTGGTATTCCCTATGCTTTTACCTTAAGGGCATGGGGATAATGATGGTCCAACTTTCTGGCTTCTCCTGCAAATACACGTCGGCTTCGAGTTAAGGGTTTCGGGCCAACTGTTCAGACCTTGCTGCTGCATGTAATGTAGGGGCCTTAATCATTAGAATATGGTTTTGGGGGCTCCTTGTAGTGCAAAAAACCCCAAACCCTATTCTAATTACCAAGGCCCCTACATTATCTGCGACTCTTCGATAGCGCCTTACAAGAACCGGGACCCGCAGCCCCAATGCATACAAACTAGTAAGCCCTGGGCCATGATCCGTTACATGAAGGGAATGGCCCTTAAAACCCTAAACCCCAAACAGGACCCCTTACATTGAAAGACTAGCCCCCTAAAAACCCCTAAACCCTAGATACTAGGTGACTATAGACTCCTTATAAAGCACCAGCGTTTGCGGGATCCTCTAAGACGGTTTGGGGTTCAGGTTTCGGGTTTAGGGTTACCTAAACCCGAACCCCTACCAAAAAAGGTTCGGAGTTTAGGGTTTCTATAGGGTTCAGGGCCGAGAGCTCTGGGGAAATATCCGGCGTTTCGTCTGAGGGCCTGGCCTTATGGAGTGCCGCCGGTTCAGCTTCAGGTTGCTGTCAGAACACATGCTGTTGCCCCAAGGGTCCAAAGGACCCAATAATCAGGTAGGGTTTAGGGTTTATGGCTTGGGGTTTAGGGTTTAGGGTTTCAGTTATGTAGGTTACTGTTTGGGAGAGTGTATGATTATTAGGGTACTTGGACCCTTAGGTTTGCTACTGCGACATTCTCCGAAGGCCAACACCTAATCTCATGATCACTACAAGATTAACAACAAGAGCAACAATAATAACAACAAGCCCAAAATGGTAATCATAATCATCAGTATAAAAGGCGAAGCAGATCAGAAGACCTGCCAAATCGAAGAGATCTGCTTGCAAGACAGGGGCGAAGAGCGGCAGGTAGCCTGCGTTGTCCTGCATCTCGCCCATCAAGCGCCGGAGTCCGTCGCCTTTCAATGCCATTTCTGACACCCTACCAGGACCCCCCAAGGGCCCTTTAATGGAGCCCTTATGGCCCTTAATAGTGGGTACTTAGGGTATATTAGAGGGTAGTTACGGGGTCTAGGTAAACCCTAAACCCTAAACCCTAAACAACTAAACCCTAAACCCCTGGTTTGGGGATGAGGGCTTGGGTTTAAGGGCTGCGCCAGGTGTGGGCAGCGGTAGCAGCCAACCCGAGACCTTTTCCAAAAACATGTTACTGCCATCTAAGCTTAGGGTTTAGGGTTTAGGGTTTAGGCCCCCCAAAAGGCCCGGATCATGAGCATCAGAGGGGGGCCCATGCTAGTCCAGGCCCTCAAAGCCCCGCTGATTACCATGCTCATGATGCGCGCCACTGCGGCGAGCTGAGTTAAGGGTTCCGGGGTTGGGGGTTTAGGTTGCGAGCTTGGGGGATGCAAGATAGACGGCTTGAGACGGAGGCCTCGACTCCAGCTGTGCAGCCACAAGAAAGCACCAAAACCTGAAGCCCAAAGACCTAAAGCAAACAAAGTCTTAAAACACCCACCACCGAATTCTACGACCCTAAACCCTAAACCCCGTATCCCTACCTAGACCCTCCAACTACCCTCTAATATACCCTAAGTACCCACTATTAAGGGCCATAAGGGCTCCATTAAAGGGCCCTTGGGGGGGTCCTGGTAAACCCAACGCCCAAAAGGCTACAACGCCCAAACCCGGACCTGCGATGTAGTCCTGCGTGCGCACCACCTCGACTTTGTCCCCCTTCGCGAGCCTGCCAAGACATAGGTAACGTAGGCTTCTTTAAAAGGGATCCTTAAGGGGTTTTAGAAGGGCTACTATAAGGGTTTAGGGTTTAGAGTTTAGGTGTTAGAACAAGTTTTGGGGATATATTCTACTATATAGCTCTGAAAATTGGGGTCTTTTCTAGGGTCCTCTGTACACAAGTGCCGTGCTATTTTGGGGACCTAGAAAAGAGACCCTAATTTGGAACTACCCGCATGGGCGGTTGTGAAAACCAGGATCCCTTTACGGTTTAGGGTTTAGGGTTTAGCCACCCAATAATTAATAATGATCATTGATTGTCATAGCCATCATCATGATTATCATCATCATCATCATCATCATCATCACCATCACCATCACCATCACCATGACCATGACCATGACCATGACCATGACCATGACCATGACCATGACCATGACCGTCACCATCACCATCACCAGCATCATCATCATCATCATCATCATGATCATCATCATCATCATCATATCAACATCATCATCAACAACATCATCATCATATCAACATTATCATCTTCTTCTTGAGCATATGCATACTGAAGACTGTCACAAAAGATGAGTAGTATCAGTATTACTTATGCATAGTGAAAATAACAACAATAACAGCATATATTAATCGCAAAACAGAAAACGAAGAACCTTCAAGCAGTAAGACAATAATTACTATTGCTCCTAGCGCTTTCCGGAAGAGTAATATCAATACTGCAAGGGTCGTGTTTCTCCCACTATTCAGATTTAGTGCTGAAATCCCCTGATACACAAGAAGGGGTAAACATGCTTCCAGGGAGACCTACCTTAGGTTCAAAGCTTAGGGTCTACCTTTTCACACCAAGGTAAACTCAATCCTGCAAAATGTTGGATGTGCCAACACACAGAACATGTAGGGCCATGCACGTACTGGTATTCAGTATTCCCTCTGGTAGTTGTAGTTTCAACTACACTATACAACTAGAAGGCAAGGACGACCTGTCCTACTGTCCAGGACAGACATGATTTAGAGGCCTGAACAAAGCCCAACGCCCAACACCCTACAGTAAACTCGAAAACCGAACCTTACCCTTACCCGAGTCCTGGACCATAAACCCTAAACCCTAAACCCTAAACCCTAAACCCTAAACCCGAGTCCTGAACCATCAGATTCGGGTCTTCCGGGAAGTTATAGTATAACTATCCTAGGGAGCCCTACGGAACTATATTATTCATAGCCCCCCATACGTCTTCGTCTCCCTCACCCATGCTCGTTGAAAGAAACCCTAGGAAAAAGTACCCTCGATCTACCCCTACTTAAAGGATCATGGGGCTTAGTAAGCAGGGTTATAATTAGGGTAACTATACGTATAACCCCAATTAGGGGACTTATAACATTACTTACCAAGTCCCATGATCCTCCGAATAAAGCAGCACTGAGAAGCTTCCAAGTACCTATGACTGAAGAAAACAAAGAAGCAATAATATCCGTACCTCAGCCCTTCTAGATCCCTTTTAGTAAACTCTGCAGAACGACCCCCAAACCCTAAACCCTATAAACCCTTAAACCCTAAACTCTTATCCCCAAAACCATGAGCCCTAAACCTTAAACCCTTAAACCCTAAACCCTAAACCCTTAAACCCTAAACCCTGAACCCTTGTGGGCTGGGCAGACCTCGTGATGAGCTCAGAGTTGACATCGGGCTTCGCGCGGACGTCGCAGCCGTAGGGGCAGGTCACGATGTACGTCGCCGGACCTTCTCTGAGGTTTCTTGAAAGAGGGTTTAGGGTTTAGGGTTCAGGGTTTAGGATTTAGCTTTAGGGGTTTAGGGTATGGGGTTCAGGGTTTAGGGGTTTAGGCTTTAGGGGTTTAGGGTTCAGGGTTCAGGGTTTAGGGTTTAGGGTTCAGGGTTCAGGGTTTAGGGTTTAGGGTTCAGGGTTTAGGGTTTATAATAAGGCCATAAGAGTTCTACAACGGTTCCTAAACAAGTTTCCGAATTGCAAGTGTAAGGTTTCTATAAGGGTTCGATGAGACTCCCAGGGTTTAGGGTTTAGGGTTTAGGGTTTAGGGTTTAGGGGCCGGGCAAAGGGGTCATGCTTTCGGGCATCAACATGGGGGTGATCATCGTTAAGAGAAGCTGTCATAGCGCTAATCAACTTACGGTTTTGCAGAAGGATCTAAGAGCTGTTCGGCCTTAATGCTTACCACAAACGTCTACATGATATGGGCTTTGAAGGTTGTGGGTTTAATGAAGGGGCCGAGATGATTAGAACGCGGACTTGGGGTATGTATGGTATGCTATAGTTCCAAAAAAGTCCTATAGTAGAATGATGCTGAAAAACGGCCCGAAACCTAAATCTCCGACAAACCCATGAGCATGCTGAGAAGGGCAATCCATAATCTGCAATCTCAGGTATGCGAGAAGGGCCTCTAGAAGGATGCTCCATCCCCACCATGAACAATCCGATCTCGCACTCTAAGGTAAGGGCCCCTAAACTGTTTAGGGTTTAGGGTTTAGGGTTTAGGGGTTTAGGGTTTAGAGCTTAGGCCCTAAACCCTAAACCCTAAATTACTAAGGTAAGGGCCAGTATGGGCAGAGGCCTGCGGCGCGGTAAATTAGAGCATATTCGTGCTAAGGAACCTGCCAGAAAAAACACAGGCAACTAATACAGGGGCCTGAATAATTGGAATAGGGTTTAGACTTTAGGGTTTAGGGTTGAGGGTGAACCAATACAGGGGCCTTAACAATTAGAATAGGGTTTTGGGGGTTCCTTATCATGGATATAGTATAATATACCTCAAACCCTGTTCTAGTTAGTAAGGCCCTTACATTATGCAGGCCGGTAAAGTCTCCTCTCAGTTTCGGGAGTCTCGGGCGAGTCATCGGGACTCGAACCTCCAAAATAAGAGAGAACCAGGACAGGTAAAATAAACTAAGCCTCACGCTGTAACCCCCAAAACCCCACTAACCCCACAAAGTAGCAGGTTATGACCCAGTGTGTTATAGGGTCAAACGCTATGTTTGTGGATCCCCAGGATAAGCCTGTTGGTGACGGAATCAACAACACGGAGAAAACCTAGCCCCTAATCCTTAGACCCTGCACCCTAAGCCCTAAACCCTACCTTAAGAACCCAAAACCTACTTTTTTGTAGGGTCCCTATAAATCCCATGTTAGGGTTTATAATAAGAACCTACAAAAGAGTGGGTTTTGGGTTCTTAAGGTAAACCCTAAACCGTAACCTGATCCCAGTTCAGCCCTACAAGTCCTTGGACCCTTGTTAGCTTCGTTCTGCCTAAACTAGACCCCCTTCCTGCAATCGGCCCTTCTTGTCCAGTACCCTAGGGAATTAAAGGCTAACGGCTAATTTCGGTGTTTATGTTGGGGCCCTAAACCCTAAACCCTAAACCCTAAACCCTAAGTCCCTAAATCCCTAAACCCTAAATCCCTAAACCCTAAAACCCTAAATCCCTAAACCCCCAAACCCCTAAATCCCTAAACCCCCAAACCCCTAAATCCCTAAACCCTAAAACCCCCAA